TAATAACTGGTAGGCGTTAATGATGGCCTGCAACTCAACAACCCGGTCTATTTTAAATCAAAAGTTGACAAAATCAGCTCCAGATCCTTAATTTTCGTGATTTTTTGCCCTTTTTGAAGTGAAGGTGCATTATGGCAAAGTCATATCTTCGGCAAAATCCTTTGTGTGGATTTGGGTTCACAGGCTTCTTTGGTAGGAGGACTTTATTCCTCAGTTTGTGTGCGCACCAGGGTGTCTGACTGATCGTTTACTTTCCCACAGCTACCATGAATTGGTACGCACCATATTTAAATAATAGTAAAGTAGCAGTGGTTGCGCGTGAATAGAAAATATAGAGAATTAGTACTGCGTGCGCAACCTACAAATGTGCATAAATTGTTGACCGTTGCTGTAGTGTAATGAAAATTTGATTAGCACAAACAATAAAAAATAATGAATTCCAGATGAACTGGAATTAAGCGTCTGCTGGATTTCAAAAAATAATCTCACTGAGCACCTAGTTCCCGGAAAAAGAAAGCAATTTCAAGGCCAACGACCACTGGGAATGCTGCTATTTCTCATTAAAAAATGTGTAGGATGAGACAGTTTCATTCTCGTCAAAGAGGAGTAGGGATTCTCCTCATTCTTTCCCTCATTTTATCGCAGTTTCTCTTCTTCCAGACAGGGTGTCATAAAATTCCACTTTTTTTTTTCAAAAATTATTACTGCTACAATAGTAGGGGGCATCTACAGCGATTGTTCGAATGGGTAATCGTGAAATTATCTTTTTTATCCGTATATCTACATAGTTTCACTTATACTTTTTAACCAATTTTGCATTTTATATTCACTTTTTTATATATAACTGTACATGTTTTATAATCAGCTTACACCTTACCTTGTTACAGCTAATACTCATTTCGGTCTCCATGGCATTTTTGGTAAATGTACACATCATAATTAGTCTTATACTATATATTTATGTATTTTCTTCACATAGAATCCATATCTTTTTTAACAATTCCATAATTTAGATTTACATTTTTATATAATAGCATTAATACGCAGTTTTGCATGGTGTATCCATATATCTTGTAACCAATTTATTTTGTGTTGCCAGTAATTATTAGAAATTAATTTGTTGATCAGCATACAAGAAAGGCAGTCTTAATGCATTCTATCAAAAAATTATTACATGTGCGCATATAGCATTTCTTTGTCGAAGAAAAAATTTGCGAAACTGCTGCGAGCTCTCAATATTGCTAGGAAACGGACAGATGAAAAATGAAAGATTTTCCTACTGGAAACACCTGC